GACGCTATAGGGGCTCCTGGCCTTTCTACTAGTAGCTGGAAGCTACTGGCAGCAAAGGGCATCACTACTAGGAGCAAGGACGCTATTAGGGGCTCCTGGCCTTACTACTAGGAGCAAGGACGCTACTAGGGGCTCCTGGCCTTACTACTAGTAGCTAGAAGCTACTAGGAGCAAAGGGCATCGCTACTAGGAGCAAGGACGCTACTAGGCGCCCCTGGCCTGACTACTAGTAGCTCGAAGCTACTAGGAGCAAAGGGCATCGCTACTAGGAGCTAGGGGCTCCTGGCCTGACTATTAGTAGCTAGAAGCTACTGGGAGCAAAGGGCATCGCTACGAGGAGCAAGGACGCTACTACGGGCTCCTGGCCTGACGGCTAGTAGCTAGAAGCTACTAGGAGCAAAGGGCATCGCTACTAGAAGCAAGGACGCTACTAGGGGCTCCTGGCCTTACTACTAGTAGCTAAGCTACTAGGAGCACAGGGCATCGCTACTAGGAGCAAGGACGCGGCTAGGCGCCCCTGGCCTGACTACTAGTAGTTCGAAGCTACTAGGAGCAAAGGGCATCGCTACTAGGACTACCAGGGGCTCCTGGCCTGACTACTAGTAGCTAGAAGCTACTGGGAGCAAGTGGCATCGCCACGGGGGCGCAAGGACGCTACTAGGGGCTCCTGGCCTGATTACTGGTAGCTAGAAGCTACTAGTAGGAGCAAAGGCCATTGCTAGTAGGAGCGAGGACGCTACTAGGGGTTCTTGGCCTACTACAGTTACTAGTAGCTAGAAGCTACTAAGAGCAAAGGGCATCACTACTAGGAGCCAGGATGCCACTAGGGGCTGCTGGCCTTACTACTAGTAGCTAGAAGCTACTAGGAGCAAAGCGCATCGCTACTAGGAGCAAGGACGCTACTAGAGGCTTCTGGCCTTACTGCTAGTAGCTAGAAGCTACTAGTAACATCCTCTTATAAGTCCCGACTTTTCAGAGCCGTTCTGCAACGACGCACGAAGACATGCATTAAATTACATGAAGCAATCACTATTGTTGTAAGGGCCTGGTTCTCACTTTCCTGGACCATGCTGGCTTGCTATTGTTTTTTTCACGCTTGTGGCCTCAAGCTTACATTCACTTGGGGAAAGCTCAGCTGGGAACTTGTTGGCCAGACTGGTAATTGGACGACAGGAGCGTTGCCCGCACACACCGTTGCTCCAAATTGTTTGCCTCCTAGCCAGAGATTAATCACCTAGCCCCACCATGTGCAAGGCTGGCCGCTTTGGGCATAGTTGCCTGTAGTGGGGCCATGCGCTCAGAGCCTGCATGTCACAGGGGTGTGAAGGGAGCTTTGACATTGAGGCTGTGGCCTCATTAACCTCCAACCTTGGACAGGTGGCTCCAAATCTATTCAAAAATGGAATTCTAATGGATATGGCAAGACATGTTTAAATACAGTAAGTATTTTAGTTTCTACTTTTCATTTGCCTCCTTGACAGGTCAATGTCGTCAGCGGTGCCTTTCAAGTTTTTGTGCGTGGAGCTTGGTGTCCACATGTTGTGATTGCGTGTCAGTTCTCCCATCATTGCACGCTTTTCACTGAACCGTTTAGAGTTCAACCACGGGTGGCGGGTGCAATTGTATATATCACGAAAGCCAGCCGATAGGCAAGGCTTGAGTTTTTAGGGTGAACGAAGTGAATAAAGGGGGTGTGGGGGGGGGTCGCGCAGAGGCCATTTTTGGGAGGTCGAACCTTGAGCCTGGTGGGGGAGAGCGTTCAAAAGTAGGGTCAGGAAAGCGTCGAAAAAGTGGTTTGGTGATGCAAGTGGTGTAAATGACGCTGAGTAGTGCATCATTCTCGGAGACCATTTTCTAGTCCTGAGCAGGGCATAGGGACTGTGTAGCTCTGATCATACCAAGAAGGAGCAAGCAACAAAGAGTGAACGCTCTGGGAGCGAACGATGTGAGTATGTCCAGTTGGGCGAGGGTGAACTCAAGCCGGGACACGCGGAAGCGTTCAACACGATGCCCAAAACATTTACCACAGCAACAGAAAGGATGTCCTTCATGCACAGATCAGGGGCATTTCTGGACAAGCTTTAGCAGGCTGCAGCTCTGAGGTTTCGTTGCGAGGAAGCAAGGGGCGTTTAGCAGCAACTCTCTGTGGCCACGTGTGGAAGACTGAAACACGATGCCCGAAATATGGCCGACAACAGCGGAAAAAGAAGATTTCGGGCATCGCTGGTTTTTTCGTGTTTGGCTCACGTACTGTTACTTCTCAGTTAACGACCTGCAGGTCCTTTGCAGTTCCTTGCGCCTTCACCAGGACCATTTTCGTCAGTGCATTCAGCCACACACATTGCTAGATTCTAGATGGAATGTCAAAAGATGTGCCAGATAGAATGTCACGAGATATGCCAGAAAGAATGTCCGAAGATATGCCCGAGAAAATGTCAGAAGATATGCTAGAAAGAATGCCAGGCATAATGTCAGAAGTTTTGCCAGACAGAATACCAGCTCCACGAAAACTACAACCATTCAAGAATGAGTGCTCTCCTCTTTTTTTCTCCCAGCCCTGCTCTTTAAAGGGCTTTGCATTGATGCACGATGCCCGAAACACATTTCAAAAGCAACCAAAAACCACCTTTCGGGCATCCTTCTCCTGGTCTTCACTGACGTGTATTTTTACATGGATTCTCAAATAGACCACTAAACAGGGACGCTCCAGAGAGCACCGCGCCAGGAAGATTGAGAAAGCCTCCGCTATTTTTCCTCCCAGTCTTGCACTACCATATTGGCCTCTCGCTGGCTTTCGTCCTCTTCTTTCTCAGGTATATATAGAGCAGGTGAGTTGTCAAATGATGAATGCACAGGCTTCAAGTATTCATCAGCATCTCAACTCTACATTACATCTTATCACACGTCCGCTTGTCACACTTTCGCAATCTCACTTTGAATGAAACTTTAAGGTTGCTTCCAATTGCATGTGTGTTGAGGTCGTAGTGCGCTGGCGAAGGTGTTCACATGACTCTACATGAGAGTTGCTTAGGACTACTTTGAGGCTGAAAGAAGCCTTGAACAGAAGGGTTGAGCGCAACAAAGGCACAGAGGAGCAATGCCAGAAGAATCTAACGAGGGGCAGATCAGCCTCAAAGTGACAAATGTGTTGCAAAATTGCAACTAAACTAGTAGTAACTAGAGTGGGGAAACAGTTCGAAGCGCGCAGAATATAGGATGTTGTTCAAGCATATGTATTGCCCTGATGAAAAAAGGACAGCGCAATGTTGCATGTGCAAGATTGTACAAGTATATGCGTATAGCTAATTTACGCTCAAACAGTACAACAGGATGCTGCAAATGCACAAAATCTGGACTCTTGTTTAACCCCCCCTCCCCCTGTATTTTGTAGGGTCCTATAGGCTCCCCTAGGCGTGTCTACGCTATACGCGTGTAGCGCGTGTTGTCCGTAGTTAGTTTGTATATATCTCTTCAGTCAGCTGCCGCTTAATTCATTTGGCTCAAGACTTTGAAGCCCAATACTGCACTCCGTGCCATAGAAAAGTGTGCTCGTCGTCGCTCGCACACTTGCATCGTGAGAGGGTCTTACTTGGTGTATTCGATCAGGTCCAGTATACTCTACTGCCACTTTGGGGAACGGAGCTTGTGTCTCCTGCTTCGCCACGGTCAAATTTGCTTCGTGCAGCTTTGTCTTTGTCCGATATTCCGGACAGGAGACAACCAAGTAGCCCACCTGTCTGAAGAGTAGTGACCATGGTCCAGATCTTTAACATGGATACGGACAACGAATCAGAATATAGTCACCAGGAAGAGTCGGGACCGCAGGAAGCATATGCTGCACAAGGTTCGAGGTATCGTTCCCAGCAGCCCAGATCCTCAGGTTCGACATTCCGGACTTATGAAACACAGCCAGCACCAGGTGTCAGAATGACGCCAAAGATTCCCCCGTCCTTCGATGGACTCCTGAAACGGTGAAAACCGCAATGAAAATGGCAAGCCAAAAAAGATATGAACTGAGGAGGCTGGTTCAGCGGCGCAACTTTTGCTTATCAACCAAACAGAAAACCAACGAGCTTTTTGTGAAAAAATAAGTTCAAAATAACTTCCATTAAGTTAGGGGAAATATATTGGAATAAATTCCTAAGTAACTTGTAACTTTCTGCAGAAGTCGTCAGAAGTTACACTACTTCTAGTCTAGTTAGACAGGTTCTGAGCAACATATTGAATTTGCAAGTAAGTTACAAACCACTTTTAAGTCCTCCTACTCCCAAGCACACCCAACCAATAGGCAGCTTAAGCACCGATCAGGCGACAGGCTCCGTCCTAAGCCTTTCAGATCAGATCCTATATAGTATCTGCTAATAAGCTGCGCGAACCTCACCACCGCATTACCTACAACTGGGAGGTCTCCACGCTTGCCACAGAGCAGCTTGCAGCACTAGAAGGACAGGATGCCGACGTGGACTGCCTTAGGCAGATTGTGCTGAATTATGGCAAGGATATGCGCACGCTAGTGAAGCGGTCATCCGACATTCCGGAAGACCGAGGCCGTGTTGGATACACCGGACCTCCGCGTCAGAAAGAAACCCTCATAAAGGTCAATGAATACCTGAAACGTTTAAATCATTTAGATTTCTGCTTAAAGAGCAGCGACGAGGCATTTCACCACCCGTTTCAATGTAACTTTTCATTGGCCTCAAGATCCAGCGTTCGAGTCCGAGGTGAAGCATCTGCACAGTATCGAAGACAGAAGGACAAAGAACGGTCCCAGTGGAGAAGGCAAGAAAGGCAAGATTGGTGGCAATCCGCTGCCTCTTCCTGTGGCAATCCGGCTGGGACACTGGATACAGAGGGTATAGAAGATGGTAAATGACGCCCAAGAATTGTCGACATTCCGGCAATTGCGCTTCATGAGTTGCAATAGATTAGATCTAAATAGATTTTGAAAACTCCTTACAGCTTTTGTACTCGAATAAACATTGAAGATTTCTAACAGCCTTGAAATTCCGGCATTACGGAAAGTTCACAGCAAGATGATTTTGCCCTTCGTAGATTTGTATAGATTCACATTTTGAGAGTCCTTTTTAGATTGTCTGACGTCATAGACTTAAGAGCCAGAATGGCATCTACGGCCAAGTTCTGCGATGCCAGAACTGTAGTAATTCATTTGCGCATTTTGCCCCCTTTTGTAGTTTTGCAGCCGTAAGCTACGACGCGAAGAAACTTTGTGTCTGTTTGTATTTTGTAGGGTCCTAGGCTCCCCTAGGCGTGTCTACCCTATACGTGTGTAGCGCCTGTTGTCCGTAGTTAGTTTGTATATATTTCTTTTCAGTCAGCTGCCGCTTAATTCATTTGGCTCAAGACTTTGAAGCCCAATACTGCACTCCGTGCCATAGAAAGGTGTGCTTGTCGTCGCTCGCACACTTGCATCGTGAGAGGGTCTTACTTGGTGTATTCGATCAGGCCCAGTATACTCTACTGCCACTTTGGGGAACTTACCCCTCAAAGCCCCGCCCTGCCCCCCCCAACAATTGGAGACCCTAGAATAAAATGATAGAAAACCAATCAATTGATGAATAATTAAAGAATCCTTACTTAGCTTCCTCTGGGGCTACTCTGGCACCAAGATTGAAGGCATTTGCAATAAAAAACGAAGGGAGTCAAGAAAAAGACACTATTCTTGTGTCCTTAATTGATCAGTGCAGGGAATGTGCTGACATTATTCTGGGGGCGTTGATTAATCAGAGCTCCACATTATGTACATACAAGGCTACGAAATATTGCGCACCGTGTGCAGTTCCTAGGTTTCACAAGCATAGCGCGCAAACCTTCAATTACAGCAAGGAATGCAGGGCCAGACCATTCGAAACACAACACGGTAATACTTGGCGGCCCCCGCGTTCTCAACCAGCTTTTGATCAGACTCACGCTTCAAAAAAACAATGTTAGTTTCAGCATATATGTTGCGCATACAAGTATGCCGCGTACAAGGAGGATTTATGCGTGCAAGCGGTGAAATCATATGATGTTGCGCCTTTAAGCGCCCATAGTACAGTTACCAGGCTTAACAGGCACCATGCGCAAGCTTTGAAACATATCAAGAACAAGGCATGCCAGATTCTTCGAAACACAACCACCAGCACCGACACCTTATTTGTCCAAAGTCAGCTCACAGCAAGGGCAGAAACGGCTGAATCAGCCAGAGTCCATGCATATTGCGTGAAGTATTGAGCAAGTGTTTTGGCTAAGGGTCTGGTAAAGTTCGGGAAGTTTGGAGATGGGAAGTTGGTTGTTGTTGTTGTTGCTGCCAGGTTTGTGGCTTTGTGCCCTGGGCTGGTTGGCCTGTTCTTGCTCACAGGCAGCACCTCGCCTGCAAGCCAGACATGCGCTTAAGTGAGTCCATCGGCGATCAGCACAGGTATGCGCTGGAATCTCTGCATGGTTTTGCTCATGATCGTTGGCTTCATGGCCCGGCCTTGAGGATGCAGAGGTAGAAGCCTTGCATTTCAGCCAGCCCAAGCCTAAGGTCTCTTGCGCAGGCATTATGTACACAGACAATTTTGTGGACAACCTGCAGGCATGGAGCACGATAGAAGAAGCAGATAGAAACAATTTCACCCGTTTTACCGGCGATTCTTTTGGTCCTTTGCTGAAAAGGCCAGATGCATGTGGGTCTTGCCTCGTATGCCTTGAGAAAACATGCGCGCCCTCACCATGCATGCTGACCAGCTTGTGGGTAGCTTTGGAGTCATTGGGACGGGAATGTCAGGGCAAACGCTCCTGTACTTGTGAATCTTCGGCAGATTGTCCGCATGCCCAAATGGCTGGTCTCTGTATACAGCAGGGAAGGGATATGTATCTGTATATACATACACGAGTGGACAGAAAGTTGGAATGCGGACTTGGGCGGCGCAAACGAAGACCAACTTGGAGCCCTTGGACACTATTGTGACTCATTCTAACTGCTGGATAGAATGGAAGCGCAATTCTGTCTTTCCGTCGGTTCTTGCCAATCCGATCACGTGTTGTGATCATACCGGAAACTCACAGGTTCCACGGTAGAGGTTGCACGAAACGAATTAAGTCACACCAAACAAAGACACGATTCAACCGAGAGCCTCGGAACAAAGCGAGAGATCAAATGCCCAGCCTTTAAGGCTTTGTCCCCGTCCTTCACGGAGGATACAAGCAAACTGCAAAAGTTCTTGATTCTCAAGAAAAGGACGGGCCCCAAGAATGGATCCCTTTGGAATGGCTTGGCCACATTTGTGTGCCCATGTGGCGTGATGAACGCCAGGGAGCACTTTTTGGCCTGTACAAGAAAACAGAGTCGTACATGCTTTCCGTATCTTCTTCAGCAAGTCAACAAAAGTGGAACTCTCGAGGTGGATGGATTCAAGAGTAAATCGTCGGCGCTGAAATAAAAACGCGATTTCAACATACCCAGTGGACAGGTTATCCCCGACCTGCCATCGAAGGGAAGAGAAAAAATCAGAAAACGAAGTTGCCTCAGAAGGGGGCAGCTTGGTCATCAGGGCCTGGTGACTCTGCTCAGTGAAAGTGGGTGTCCAAGGAAACTGGTCAACCTGCAGGTTCCACAGCCAGTTTGGGAATCGAGTCTGCATATCTTTCAATGGATCCTCACAAATAAGCTCGTCTTTCCGCTCAAAATGGTCACGCAGTGGGACGTCATCACCAATCTGCTGGTTGAGGCGGGAAAGAAGTGCCTGTCTAACAAACACCTCATGAGTAATGGATTGAAAGAGCTGCGGGTCAACAGGAACATGTGACAGTGCACACTTCTTGGCAGCATCGTCAGCAACTCTGTTTGCAACTACATCTTGGACAGTCATTCCCAGCTGTTTGGCAACCTCAGGCGTAACGGCATGAAGTGGTATGTCGTCACATGAATGGGCACGAATCCACCTCAGTTGAATGGGTTCAGAAGTCTGACATCGTCGCATCTGCCAAATCCGAAAAATGTCCCGCCACCATTGTAAGTGACTCCATGTAGGGTCACAGGCATTGGCGGAAATCATTGCACTGAAGAGGGAAACAACGGTTTTGCAATCCGAAACAATCTGAGTTGGTCCTTGGCTGATGGCAATTGCCTGTAACACCGCGTAAAGTTCAGTCGCGTATGAGTTCAAAGCAACATGGTTTACCCTTTCAACGCGGACACAGGTAAAACTTTCATCAACAATGGCATAAGCTCCAGTTGTTACCCAGAAATTCTGTGGAAAGAAAACTGACCCGTCAGTCCACAATGTGCGTCTTGGCATGTCCGGCTGAAAATCAAGAAGGGCATCAGGTTTCCATGGTTGCCATTCAAGTCTAAAATTACACAAAGCAACCGGATGATCGAAAATCCCAAAATTGACAAAGTTGGTCCCAAAATCATGTTTGGGAGCGGTGCGAATGTCAATGGGGGCGGAGGGACAATCGTAAACAATGTGTCTGAGGGATTCTTTTTCACAGAGGCAAAAACGGCAGGTAGGATCGTCGGTGAATCCGACTGCAGCTCGACGGCCGTTGGTAATTGTACACCCAACAATTTGGGATTCAAAGTGCGGCACAAGTGAACGAACACAATCTGTTGGGGGTGAATAACACCGATAAAAGGCGGTGGAAAGGTTAAAGTCAAGGAGGCCACTCGGCTTGGAGACATCCTTGCGAGCTTTTGCTCCTGAAGCTTCATAGCACGCCTGTCTCCCCATCACATGGAGAAAGCCCCGCAAGTCCCGAGGTGTGACGTCCAAGATCTCAAACCTTTGATTTCCGATGCCAACAGACAAATCCGGAAAGAGACGAAGGTGAAAATGCTCCAAAGCTTTGGAAACATGACACACAAGAGATTGCTTCAAAGCGATAGATGCTTCAAAGATATTCTGCAATGTTGTAATGATTTCTGGATGGGAGTGAATGTACCTCCAGAAATTTAACACAGCAGTATAGGCCCGTGCAGTCTTCGGCTCAACAAAGCAAGGCTGCGAAAAGAAACAGAAGACTAGCATCTTGGACCTCCAGTGTGGTCTGTTATGCCAAAGCACCGTAGCGATGTCGGTCTGGATATCACTAAGAACCTTCTTTGGAATGTCCGAAACTTCCGCGGCGTATGTAAATTGTGGAACCACCTTAGCCGCAATCAAGCTGGTTTTCACACTTCGTGGTAAGGGCAAAGCCCCAATGTTTTTGATGTCTGTACGAATGCGCGCAACGCGCTCTGGTGCAAACATGTAAGCATCACGATGGGATGTATAGATTTTGGTGCCTAGTGCATCAAATTCAAGGGCAACCGGAATCAATGGGAAAAGAGTCCTAGCAGAAGCTCGTGATTTGACACTAGTGGCCCAAAGGGTGCTCTTAGAAGGATTCAGTTTTTGACCGATAAGATCATTCCAAATTTCTGTGACAGCAAAAGCTTGTTGGAGGTGGTGAACATGGTCGATTCGAACCCAAAGGTAAGCATCATCAATAAAAACCCTGCAAGTAACATGAGGAATGAGACCAACAAAGCGAACCCACACAGCCATATAGGTGTTGATGGCAAGGAGTGAAAAGCTACAGCCCTGAGCGACTCCGTTAGCACATGTGATGGGTTCACTAGAAACCCATCCTCGATACGAGAGGTGTTTTTTGAGGCCTTGGTAGATCTTCAAGAAAATGCTCACGATACCTTTTGGAAGTCCGAATGCGAGGAAAAGAGCACCTGCGAACGACGGCAAAATGCGGTCAAAGCACTTGGATTGGTCAAGCTTAATACCAACCAGACTATCCCCTTCAACGTGCGCTTGGTCGATCTGTGTCCGAATCTCAAGCGGAATGTCAGTCATATGTCGGCCAGGAATACCCCCATACAGTTGTTTGGGAAGTATATTTTGTTGCCATTCTTTGAGCTGCCGGAATCGAGTTCCGGTATATGCAAGAAGCAATGGTGAGAGCACTGTGATAAGTCTCTTATTAAGCGGGAGGGAGGGTCCTGGCTTATTAAGGATAACTTGTTTGGCTCGAACCAAAACTTGTGGCAAGTCTCCGTGGCAATCATCTTCCAATGCATTGAAGAAGCTGGCCACAGCATCACAGCACACAATGGGCAGGGACTGAAGGTCGGTAGTGCGCCAACCATCTAACCCAGGCGCCGCAAGCGGGTTGCGAGCTTGGATAGTGATGTAAAGGTCGTGACCTGTTAAAGGAGGTAAATGCCAGGGTTGGACATCGTAATCCATGTAAGGCCAAATGACCTGAAGCATCTGGAGTGGGTCTTGGTGGAGGACATTAGCACTATAGATTTCATCCCACGTGTTGTTAATCGCGGAGATGGCATCACAGAGACTGAAAATAGTGTTACCTTGAGGGTCACAAACCAAATTGGTGGGCTCAGTGATAGTCTTATTGCGTAAGTGGTGGAAGATGAACTTCTTAGTAGACTTAGCTGACTCTTTGAGCTTGATCCGCCATGCTTCAAGGCGACGTTTTTTGGTGAAAGACTCCCAAGCAACTATTTCCTGATCAACCCATTGAATAGTGTCATTAATTTGGACCAGCGAGGGATTTGCCGGTGTATGCCAGTGGCAAGGACAATCGAGTTCAGTGAGTGCACGGTGACACCTCTTGGCTGTTTGAACGAAAATAAGGCGATCAGCTTGGGTGGCATGGTGCCTCTGAGCTCTTGTAAGAAGTTCATTAAGCCTACTGAGGGTTTTGTAAAGCATCGTGCTTTTTCTCGAATTGGCAGATCCTTCCTGCGTTTGGCCAGGGCAGAATTTCTTCTTGGCAAAACGAGGAAGTGTTCCCCTTTCGCGAGGTCCATGGCCCCATGTTGCCCCAGCTTGAATGAGGGCAGAAAGGCAAAACTTGTTCAAATTGGCCCATGCACTTTCAAAGTCAGGTGCGTCTTGAACAAGGGATTGGAACTGTTGTTCCCACAACTGCTGGGAGAGCGACTCGACACGATCGGACCCTGGATGACCTCTGAGAGGGATCGAAGAGGTATCAAGGGGGGCTGTTTTCTGATGAATGTCTCCTTCAAGGACTAAGGATTCCCAAGCGAAGATGGCTTTGATGGGTCGATGCTGAACTTGAAAAACTTCCAAAACATAGATGTCGCGAAGCGCGTTGAAAGCAATGGAGTTCAAGACTATTGCATCAATTGATGAACAGCCATCGGAGGCTCCTGAAAAAGTACTATCCTTGGAATACGTGATCGGTCGGAATGGTCTACCATCACCATCAACTGAGAGAAGTGGGTCATGCCAGGATGGCGTTTGCCACACTTGGGTAAGATAACGGATCTGTTTGGAAATCGCCAGCTAGGATGACTGGAACGTTACCAAATTGGGAAACCACTTGGAAGATATTGTGGAAAAGGATTTCGTTTTCCTCAAGAATTTCCTGACTGGCAGAGGCGCCAGAGCGGGCATAAATTGAGAAGATGAGAACCTTAATACTAGCAGTTACTTGCACCCAACACGCGTTGGCACGTTTGGTTGCGAACACTTTCTCATAAATTCCAGAAACATCTTCATCCGGTTTGAAGGGCTTGGTGTACACATCCGAAGCGATGATCGCCGTACCACCGTGCATTGTGGTTTGTGCCCCGTCCGATCGAATAATGCCTGCCAAAAGGTCCCCACAAAAGAGAGTCCTGTTTAAGGCTTTGACATCCTGTGTAGCGCGCCGAATATTATTTTTCCCGATACGAGTTTCTTGAAGACAAGTAACATCGGTGTCTGACGCTTTCCAGAGTTTAGATGTCTTGAGACTGCCAATGTTCATGGTGGAAATGGACCAATTCTTAGAAAAGGGATGTCGTGGACCTTCTCCGGGAAAAGCAAGCGAAGCATCGAAAGCTCGTGGCCATCCATGAGTTGGTACCCAGAGGCAAAATGCAAACACCTGAAACCAACCCCCGAG